ATGCTTTAAACAACAACAAATGGTGGTAGAATGGGATACAATCGGGATATAACAGGGATAAGACAGGGAATGATAGGAAAATAAGGATATAACATCAGGATATTTTGGGGCAACCACTAAGAAACAACAAAATAGGACATGATCAAACATGGGTATTGACGGAGAGTGGCAACCATTACTATGGGACTAGACTCAAATGGCAGAAATTCAACTTTGACCTTTTCACAACACTATCAACATATTTTGGTGCCTACACTCTGGCGGGCAAAAATCACCCATTTATATCTCTGGATGGACCGTCAAACTTGTCCTTTGAAAACCGTCTCATTGACAGGTTCGATTACAAGACAATCCTAGCCATAGTTTCAACTACAAATTAGATCATCATCATCATCATCAAAAAAGTCCAGGGCAATCCGTCACTTTTTAAACACTTGTGGCGGTAAAGCATGTCTGTTCAATAGGTAACCATAGATATATCGACGAATTGACGATTTTAGGTTGCAGTGTTCTCAATGTTCATTTCGCAAGGGGAAAGGGTGCAAATGAGCAATAATCCGTGCTGCCACCCCAATAATCCCCTACAATCTCACCACCTCAACACTTTCTCTTGGGGTCCCAAATTTGAAATCATGGAAGGCTCTCTCCACTAGTGGTGATACGTCTCACAGCCACACAATGCCACACATGTCCGCGCCCGTCACCCGTGGGACCCGTGCCTGACGAATCTGCTCCTTCAAATGAACCTGAATGAAACCGCCGGAATTGGAAAGCTACCCTCTGGTAATGTAAGATCGCCAAGGGACATTGCCCATTTAGTTCGATGATTTACCTTTTCAAAAAGGCAATTTTCCATGGCACACGCTTAGTCATTACCAAAGGCTAGCGGCTAGTTGGGTAAATCTGTGGTTGAGCAAATCTCAGGTATTGGCGAATGGCCTCATGAATGGGAATAGCTGCCCTAACCTAGGTACAAAGTGAGCCAATAACTTGGCAAATAATCCAAGGGTGCAAAAGCATGCGATCTACGATATAAAGTTTAGATCATGTTTGTCTGTCTGTCTGTCTGTCAAGCCGTGCGCCGCGCGGCGCGGGGGCGGCTCCAACTCCATACATATGCACACAACATGCAGACTAAAAACTTAAAGGCATTGTGCTACAAGGCAGCCTGACTGGCCCCAATCGATTCATTGGTTCAAAACCAGTTGGCGCCATTGCTTTTCATTCTGGACAAAAAATAACAGATTGCGAGTACTACCTGTAAAGGAAAGTGCTAAAGAAAAAACTTCAGGTATCCACTCTTTACGAGGCCGGCCTACCCTTCTCAGATATCGAGATGTAGCAGCAGTGTATGTGCCAGGTTCAAACGAGACTTGTCTCAGAGGGTGGTTCGGGTGGCAACGCAGAATCTTTCCCAAAAGCAACAGCTGTTTTCGTTCAAGAAGTTTGGACATTGGAACGTGCGCACTTCGTTGCCAGACTTCAGCGTTGGATGTTCTGGACAAGAAAGATGGCTGTATTCCCAAAATAGAGCGCAAACATCTGTTCTGGAAACCATCTAAGCGACGTTTTTCTTGCTTCGTCAAAACCAATGCGCACAGGCTATAGATCATGTTTAATTAATGTGAAAGAACGCACCAAATTGCACAAACCGTTCACCAAATTTGTGCTTGCTAGTAGATCGTCAAGCATGTCGACAACATCCACCTGAGATGTCTTACTTGGGTGAATCAACGCCCGTCTGAACAATTGTTGCAGTGCAGCTCTAGGAGAAATACTCTTCATCGTTGCTATCAACAGTTGTCGGTTTATAATCTAATTTTACAACATCACCTGACAATGACTGGTTGGTGGTTTCAGCCCCTTGGAAAAAATATGAAAGTCAGTTGGGATGATGACATTCCCACTATATGGGAAAATAACATTCATGTTCCAAACCACCAACCAAATCTTTTTCACCAACCATAAATTGTGTTTTTTTTCATGATTTTTCCATGGTTTCCCCCATCAATAGGCTTTTGATGTAACCTCTGGCAATCAAACATGGGTTGCTGGAAAACCCACCATTCAGTTCGATGATTCCCATAGAGGTTCGGGGATGAACCCCAACCAGCCATGGGTGTTTATCCTATTGTATCATCACTTTTTTTCACCATTACATCCCACGAAAATCAATAAAATCCAATTGAAATCCCATTCAATCCCTATTTGTTTCATGACCAGTGGGCAACCAAAAAATCATCTGCTGCCTGGATATCTCTTCCATAAACCCTAAGTTACTTGCAAACCAGCTCAGCCAACAACGAACTGCGGCACCTTTATGCAACCTATGGGTAATGGGTTGAATAGATCACCAGTATTCGATACTCGATCCTTTGAAGGGTGATTCATCCCCATTACATTCATTACATCCCCATCCCATTATATATTTCCTATTTTGCACACGGTTTTCATGGTTCAATCACAATTGTTGGATGGTTCAATCAACAAACATCATACAGTCATTCCGAATATACCAGGATTTTTCATGGATAACTCAACCTTTTTTACTGTAAACATCTTTAAACACCATGTACAAAGCAGCATTTTTGGATGGTTCAGTCAACACCAAGCGCCACGTTCAGCGCGCCGCGCCCGCGCCTTTTCCCGTTCATGATCCTGGCGCTCGCGCGCCAACACCTGCGGGCTGATCGATGATCTCTGGAGAGACTGGGTATCTATGCTTGGAAACATGGCTTTCTATAGTTACATATGATCTTTAAGGGACAATGAAAAGGATGAGTGGGATAAAATCAACAGACTTGAGATATCTGTTGATTATATATATATAAATAATCTAGTCAGATAATGAACCACTATTAACAGCTACATTGAATATATTATACTCAGGTTGAATTATAATGATTCATTTTCCGACAAGAGCTGAAAAGTGTGGCCATTTGGGGATGAGTCCCCGAGTCCTCCAAGAATCATTCCAGTGACGTCGCAGGGAGGTCATTATAATATCGTGTATATATATATATATATGTTTGATTCGAGTTACATATATATATATATATGTATACTAAGTTCTAGTGATAGTAATTAATGTTAATTTTTGTGTATTGGATCATTTTGGAATTTATGCTATAGTGAGAAAATGTTACAAGCTACACCCATTTATAAACCCTGTTATTTCTGCCAAACAGGCTTGTCATATCTATCAGTTGTCAAGTCCAAGTTTTCCGCACGCAGAAACACACGCAAATGACAGGAATGGTGTTGTCAAACTCTAGGCTGCTTGGAAATACAGATTCTCATAGGTGTTGATAAACCCCACCTTTCATCACATCTTTCTATGTTTGCTCTTTGAAACTGCTTGGAGTTTGGGTTCTCGAAATCCGATTCTTGTGTGGCCAACTCCAAGCTTCGGTTCTCAAGACCATCACCGAAGCTGTTGTTTTCGGCAATTAGATTCCCATTTCGCGTGGACTTACCAACTGGAACATGCAAAACAAAAAACATCAGCCAACACATCAAACTAATTATGTTAATAATTCCTATTGTTGATGGTTTGATTCCTGATTGATCTGATTGTTGATGCTTAAATCCGACGAACCCGGTTAAAAGAAAATAAGAATCGGAACATCCAGGAAACAAACTCCACACACATGGTCATCAACTTCAGCAAAAATCCAAGTTGTTGGAACATATTCTGTCTTTCTTCATCTATTGGTGCCCCCTCTATTTCCCACATTCCGAACTTTCACCCCAAAACAGGCAACAGAAATGGTCCTCCCCCACAAAGGGGTACCCAGTGCCTTAGCCAAGTTGTTTTGGAACTCAATTCATGTAGCATACCAACTGCCAGAATCATCCCATTCTCCAACCATGACTGGGGGTCATTGTGCACCCCATGACTAGGGGCATACCCTATTTCAAAATCATTAACTTGGGGATGGTGATTCTTACTGGGTCTAACACATGAACTTGGCTTTACTAGGTAGATCTAAGTATCATAGTTATTCACTCAGTTTGTTTTGAATATCCCTAGATAATCACCCATACAAAAACTACAGCCGTTAAACAACACTTGCTTTAAAACACAGTATACGCAGCATAGTTGCTGTTCCATATGATAGTCTGATATGCATAAGGCATATTCCTTATTTCATAGTACTATATGTTCCATATATCACATCGATTCACATAGTATATCCATGATATCTATGGTATCTATGGTAAACCACAGTCTTACCAGCAGTACACCACACTGGCCTCGGAGAGAGAGGTCACTTCGGAGCTCAGAGCCTTCATGGCGCCCTGTGCCTTGCGCTCGGCCTGCGCGAAAAAAAAGACCCTTGACTTCGAAAGTTGTCTTGTTTAATGTATTATGAGCAATAAAAAGAACTACTATAGTGCATGAACTCTATTAACATCGCCGATCGCAAACTAATTAACTATTGATAGTTAATATAAGTGGTACCCTCCAGTAAATTAACATAGACCCTGCCAGATAGGGGTTGAAAGATCAGTCTCCACTAAGAATTGGTGATTTTCAAGGTCTACGATAATTTTCCAGAGGGTAATATATTCGTTCAACTGTGAGTGTTAAGCAATTACAGTAAAATTGTAACTAGTATATCATGAACGAGACATAGTTATTGACTATAACACGCATTTTTTTTATGGCAAATACCTTTTAGTTGGTTAAAAACAAATTGCTAATCATAGTTCGTTGATACTATTAGTTAAGAATAGTCAATAATATACAAACATATTTATACTTATTCACATTTGATGACCATAGGCAAATAGCAAATAAGTATAGTTATATAATAAAAACATGTTTGATTGTTAATAACAGGTAATGATTCCAATATAGTTATCAACTATAGTTATCTCAGGTTAACTATTGTAAAATTACAAAACAGTATAGTTAACTATGGCAAATGGCCATAAATTTACTTGAACTATGGTTAATTAAAAAACAATGTTATTTTTTTAACGCTGGTTGGATTTTACAATTTGTTAACTATGGTTGAGTTCTTCAACATAGTTGACATATGATATGTTTCATACTTTAAACAATTCTACACAACTCTAGTTTTCTGTGCAATAGGTAGCCAGTATCAACGAAATTGCAAGTATAGCAAAGCCACTTTATGGGGGATGGCTTGGACTTCGCTTCACCAAATTATATTCAAGGCCTGTTGATGGATATTGAAAGATATTTTGTGGGCTAACATGGCTATAAACAAGCCTCTTTTTTTATACAGGCCAAACTGGGATAATACATACCTTTCAGGGAGAAAAACATGTGAATGAACATCTTTGGAACATGTATCTTCATAACTTGCAATAAGTTATATAATGGCGCTCCGCCAATATGGAATGTATGGCGCCCTGCCTGGCTACCACTGTCCCGTCTTGCCGGGATGCAACATGAAAATTCCCATCGGCTTGGAGAAGCTCAAAACATAGAGAAGCACCATGAAATACCAAAGAAATCTTGAAATCACATGTTTTCTCTTTGTCCCGTTCAGTTGGCATCTAGCCCCAAATTGTTGTTTGCGGAAGCAATCTAGCAAAAAATGATCAGTGAGCCTATCTCTATAATCAAAAGTCCTGCTTATCATAGACGACTACTAGGGTCAAACCAACAAAGGCAACCGCTAAGTACACGGACGTGCAGTTATAGTCATAAGTGGATATTTAATCAAACATATATTATATAGGGGTTATCTTCCAAGTTATGGGGGTTCAAAACCATGGTTATGCCCAAAGGTAACCTCAACTGCGCCCCCAAGTAGGGCAAACCCTGATAATCATAGACCATCTCCAATGACTTGCTAGAAAATCCATCGTATGAACCATATGAACCATCTGCAACGAAAGGTTTCTTGTTGGGTCTACAGTACCATGGTCTACCATATTATCGTTCAAAGCAGTGAAATAAGCAACAAACATGGCACGGGGTACATTACCACAAATTCATAGGCTGTTCTGAAGCTTGCCCCTAAAAGCAATACTTAGATCCTATAGCAAATTAAAAATCAAGTGTCCAACGACAAGTCCAACCCATCTAAGTATAGATATATCCATCTATTCACCATCAACTTTGCTTAGCCTGGTTTAAAACCAAATTACAAGTAGTTATTTCTACATCCTATCAAATCCAAATGATCCCAGTAAGTCATCATAAACCACCATGAACCGCCCCAAAGGGGAGGCCTGCAACTGGTCATGGGCCATGGCCAACCGGGACTTCAGCACCTGGCCGCAAACAGCTGGGGTTTAACCAACACAAACTGGGATGTCATCAAAAATTGTGATTTATCCAGTAAAACTGGACAGCTGATGCAATAAACCCTAGGAATCAAGGATATAATCAACACATATAGGCATATGAAGCAACCAAAAGTAAGGAATTCATCAACTGACCATGGGGGTTCAATGGTTTTGAAACAGTTTTCTCTTCTAGCTGCCGCGGGTAGATGCAAGGCCGCAGTGGGTCGCAGCGGGGAGTGCCTTCGCAGGAGAATTATATCAGATCAGTTCGCCCAATACCCAACCACGGAGAATATTATTCGCAATGGCTGTCAAAATATATATTAATAGATAATAATAACAGTAGTAATATTTGACACATATAAAATGATATGCAACTAAATAACGGTGCATATATATATATATATACACAAATATACATATATACGTGTATATATATAAATACATACCAGTATATAATAATGATTTACAACAGCTATACACTAATAAAAACAATAATATTAATAACAAAAAATAATAATAATATTATTTTTTTTAAAAAAAATATTAATAATAATATATATATAACTAACTATTGCACAATTACAGTAACCATATACATACACATTAATACGTACGAAGAAAAATGATCAGCATATCATACCTATACAATCCATTCATGCAGGGGAAAATGAAATGTTCAAAGCAGCTGGGATGGCCTCAAGTTCATCCTCGAGATGCTTCCGTGCAGCCCCTTGCGCGCAAGACAGGGATTGGCGTTCACATCAAATGGCAGAGGTGAACAGGCCCCGAACAGCCCCAGAACACTGCCCAAGCACAAATTCTCTATCATGATTGTTGCATATTGTTGCTATGTTTTGTCTAAATGATAATCAAAGGGACCAAATATGGTGGCCTTTTTCCAAGATATGGATGGCACATGAAGGCACCAGACTCAAACACCGTGTTCATGATGTAAGATTCAATCTTGAAGATCAATGTTCTTAAAGATGTTTAAAGTCTCTTGGCAGTGATCTCAACTGAAGTGATTGCACTGTTGTAGTGTGTCTCACTATTAACTCACCATTTTGGTGGTTGGCTCACTATCAACTAACCATCTTTCATGGGAATTCATCACATTTTGTCATGAGAATTCCTCACCATTTCCGGCCAGCCGCCCCCACCTGCATCGCTGGTTCCAAAGTCTGTCTCCCATCCGCTCTGTCCTCCCGTGCCTGGCACAAAGCGAGCGCCATTCCGGCAGGGTGCAATGGTACTTTAATGGGAATATTGTCAATGGGAATTTCAGGAACCTAAATTGGAGGTACCTACCATATATAAGGCCTATGTAAGGCCTATGTAAGGGAATATCCCCAGAAAATATGGCCTTATATGGTACAGTACCTTTATTTTAGGATCCTGAAATTCCCATTGATATTGTGGTGATTATCATGCAAATTCCGATATATACTAGCTACATGATATCTGATTTCTATACATATATTCCATGAATATGGTGATGTAGTAAACCTAAAATGGTGATTGAATTGGAGATAATGGTGGTTTCATTGGATATTACTGAGACAAAATGGTGATTTAACTTGGGATATGATGGGAATATAACTTGGTAATGGATGCAAACGTACCCTGATAGTATGGGCTATTCCAGCACTGGGGGGTGCATCCCTGACATCGTGCTGATGTAACCATGAACAAATGGAACCAGAAAATGGTCATGTAACACCAAACTTCAAGTTACATTACTGTTTCAGTTGAATTATACACCCCATTTCCCATTACTTGCCACTATTTCCCCACCATGTTTCTGGGTAAATTATATTAAATTATCATAATTCACTAACCTGAATATTTCGGCCATTTGGGGATGATTCCTCTTATTACCCTCTGGTAATTTAACATAACTATTGAAAATGGCCATTTATAGTTGATTTTCGCAATAAAAATGGTGATTTCCAATAGCTATGTAAACGTTTTCCAGAGGGTAACCATCCATTTCCTATGGTTTTCCTATGATTTTCCATGATTTTCCACTGGTTACCCATTGGTTCAGGGCTCGGTCGTTAGAATTTTCCAGCCGGGCGCCTGCTTCCTTCGGCCGCTCCTCCGAGATCTGCGAGATCTGCTCCGCCGCCGCGCGGGCGGCCGCCGCCACCGAGGTGGCGGTGCCTATGGAAAAAACGGGGGATAGCCCCTGGGAAACTAACATTTAACCAGGATTTTTATCGTGATTTAGTAAATTTTTATGGTGATTTAATGAGATTTAATGGGTTATTTAACCAGGATTTAATGGGTTATTTAACCAGGATTTAATCGAATTTAATGGGTTATTTAACCAGGATTTAATGGGATTTAATGGGTTATTTAACCAAGATTTTTATGGTGATTTAGAAAATTTTATGGTGATTTAATGGGATTTAATGGGTTATTTAACCCGGATTTTTTTGGTGATTTAGTAAATTTTATGGTGATTTAATGGGATTTAATGGGTTATTTAACCCGGATTTTTTTGGTGATTTAGTAATTTTTATGGTGATTTAATGGGATTTAATGGGTTATTTAACCCGGATTTTTATGGTGATCTAGTAATTTTTATGGTGATTTAATGGGATTTAATGGTGATTTAATTGGATTTAATGGGATTTAATGGGATTTTTATGGTGATTTAGTAAATTTTATTGTGGTTTAATGGGATTTAATGGGTTATTTAACCAGGATTTACCATGATTTAGTGAATTTTATGATGATTTAATGGGATTTAATGGGATTTACCCTCTGGTTATTTAACATAGCCATGGAAAATCACAATTTTTAATGGAACAATCACTATAAATGGGAAGTTTTCCATAGCTATGTAAACGTTTACCAGAAGGTAAAATGGAAAGCGGCAAATGCTGAATCTGATGTGAGATTGTTGCCTTCACCTGCTGTTGGGGGGAAGTTATCAATGATAACCGCTGTAGATCGCATATATCAAAGATTGATGGTTTTGTAAGTTTTGTAACGGTAATAAATATAAATAAATAAACAATTTGCTTTATATGTATGCATTGTTAGTGGTTACCTATGGTTATAAAAAAAAAGGTATCTATGATTGATAAATATGTATGACTTCTATACCTATGACCTATGACTTATATTTACATATATATATATATATATCTCTATGGGTTATCCATCAGATTGTTGGGAATATATCTCTTGTTTACATTACATTTACATATCTATGGTCTACTAGTAGTGGTTACCTATGGGCTTCTATAGTTACCTATGGTGAATTTATACACATGTAATGGCATATGAATATATCACATAGGATTATTGGAATAAAAAGAATCATTGGTAGTTTCTATCTTTGGCTGTCTGTTAAATATGTATATATATATATATATGGAATTAAGTGTTTGATGGGATATATAGTTCACTGAATTAATTGGATAACACAAACAAGTTGTCAAAGTTGTTGATAATTGAACATAAGACTGAAAACTGTTCAGTCAAGATGAACATGCAATTTCAGCAAAAATCGAAAATGAAAAAACAACATGTCAAAACATTTTCAAACGTGTTATGTTCGGCTCTCGGATGAACGCAACATGTAAAAATCGAATTCCGAGAATCTAGAAAGATCTATAATCATTGCAATAAGGGCTGGAAACCAAATGGAAGTGCCAAATAAAGGACAACCTATAAAGATCTCAAAGAAACTGCCAAATGGATCAAAACGATGACTTCGAAGTGGTTGGCAGCAAGACCGTTCACAGCCAAGCTGCCCAACAATCGGGAAGCCTCAGAGGACAAAACGGCGGATCTATGGTGAATACAATTTAGGACATGGCGACACTTATTGTTGGATCGTCACTCGATATAGAGCTGGATACATCACCATAGCTGCAAGCTGCATCATGTAGCTCACTCGACGGATTACCCAACCAGTTTGCAACATATTTCAAGACTTGCAATTCCTTGCTCTTGCGGCTATCAGATTTATTGCCATGAATGCGGGTCACCGGCCGACCGGGTGTCAACCTTCGCTCTTTTTAATTTTTTAAGATGTGAAATATAAACTGTTCAAAGGACAACTACCGCCCTAATTTCAATAAAAAATTGTTGGTATATAAAAACCAACCGGAACTGTTGCGTTTTTTAAAAATAGGTCTCAGTTCCATCAGCTGAAATCGCTTGAATTCCAGTGATTCCCAATTAGAAATCCTGTTTTACTGTCTGGCGGTCGAGCCACAAATATGCTCATCATTAGGGATCAGCATCCCGTTTTGGGTTAAAGACATGAAACCACCAACCCCACATTTCTTTCTTCTTAAATGAATTGTCTTGTTGATAAAGCAAATATCGAAAAAATATTGAAAAAAAGTGATTGTCATTGGCAGAATTATGGGGAAAAACAGGAGTCCAACTCCTGTCTCCGTTTCGTTCCATAATTAGGTTTTCCTCGTAAGGGTTCAAAATTTCCCGGATGTGATCTGAACCTTTTGTTTTCCGTAATTCTTGTAGGGGCCCAGGATTTTCCAAATTTGTTTTTTCCTGTGTAATCAAGGGGTTGGAGCAAATTAACCCGATTTTTTCCATAATTATCAATATTTTTTCCACAATTAATGTTTGGGGTCCCCCTGTTGGCCATGTCATGGATCAAAAGTTCAAACCCGGTTTTTTATGGTTTTCGAAAATTGTTTAATTAAAAGCAATGGTAAAATGATTCCCCCTAAAAATATCTAAAAAATGTAAAAAAAATGCAATATGTTGAAAAACTGCTGGAAACCAATGAAAAAACAATGAACTAGGTTAGACAATTGCTTGAAACTAATGGCAAGAGGTTGAAATAGGTCGGAAATTTGTTTTGGTATACGGTATACTTTATTTTTTGACCCATGATTCAATATTCCCCATTATATAAATCCCATTAAAATGCATTCAAACTGCGAATCGATGGACGTGTTCCAGCCGACAGAATGAAGGAAAACACAATGATTCTGGACAAAAAAAATATGGGAAAAAACACGTCCAAAATTTTCCCGTGATAGGCAGGCGGCGCCTGTCAATTGTATTTTGTTTTCCCATAATTGTGTCGGCTGCTGATTACTTAAATAATACTCCCAATCGCACTTCCAAAGATCTCACAGATGCGCCATGCCGCTGTGGAAAACATCGACACCGCAGGAGCTGGAGCGGACTCACTTGAGGCGCTTACGGCCTGTCCGCTGCAAAAATTGGGGAACGCTTTGGAGGTTTCGGCCCTGCTGATTTTCACCCTCTGTCAATCAAACGCGGCAATAGAAAATGCCTAATTGATCGATGATTTTCCCACTGACTCGCATGTGAAGTTTGAGGAAATCATTCCTTCTAGCATAAATAAGTGCTTCCATAAGAAATGAAAATTATCCCGGCAAGAGACCCCAAACATCCCCAAAGAGTGCGGGGGAGTGGGAGGATAATGTATGACAATGTGCAAGGTGATGATGATGATGATGATGATGATGATGATGGTGACGATGCGGAAGATGAAGTGGAAAATGATGATGTAGAAAAGGAGGAATATCATGATGTTGAGGAGGAAAATGTTGAGGAGGATGACAAAAAGAATTAATGAATGATAATGTCGCGGAAGATGAGGTGGAGGATATTGATGTTGCGGAAGATGAGGTGGAGGATGATGATGCTGATGATGATGATGCCAAGGGAGAGGAAGATGATGATGTTCATATTGAGGAGGAGGAAGATGATGATGTTGAGAGAGGATGATGTTGAGGAGGAAAACCGATCCCAAGACCGGGACCAATTTGTGGGAGCCTGCGCAGTCGAAATGCGCGTCAACATGTCAGAAGAGCCACTTTCTACGGAAATTTAAAAGAAAAACGCCGCGGCCCAGGCGCAGACCTTCGTGCGCCTGCGCAGTCAAAATGCATGTCAACATTTCACAAGAGCCACTTTCTACGGGAATTTACAAGTAAAATGCGCGAGACCAGAGTGAGCACCCTGATCAAGCGCCGGCCTTTACTCCTACCGTAAGAACCCCTCAGTGGACGCACTGTTTGGGGAAAAATGAGCCTAACAGATTTGCCAATACACGTAAATACATTTTGCACCAAAGATGCAACACACGCACTAGTACACATGTGTTTACTGTGGTTCCAAAAGGCTGTTTCGAACCATTTGCAGACGGTGTTGCTTTGATTTTTATTTTACATATCAATATATGCAATTCCCCACCTGCCAGGTGAGGGTTGTTAGATTTTATGTCAGTTGCCTCCTCCTCCTCCTCCTCCTGCTCCTCCTCCTCCGCCTCCTCCTGCCTCGTCCTCCTCTCCTCCTCCTCCTCGTCCTCCTTGTCATCCTTGTCGTCCTCGTCGTCCTCGTCGTCCTCGTCGTCCTCGTCGTCCTCGTCCAACTGCGACCCGCGATCCACAGTGTTCTCTGCCGGACCTCAACCACGACCATCCACGCCCAGTGTTCCCTGCCGGACCTCAACCACGACCATCCACGCCCAGTGTTCCCTGCCGGACCTCAACCACGACCATCCCACGCCCAGTGTTCCCTGCCGGACCTCAACCACGACCATCCATGCCCAGTGTTCCCTGCCGGACCTCAACCGCGAGTATCCACGCCAAGTGTTCCCTGCCGGACCTCATATAGGAAGATAAAATGTCAGATAGAGTGCCAGAAGATTTGCCAGGTAGAATGCCAGAAAATATGCCAGAAGATATGCCAGATAGATATGCCAGAAGATATTCCAGAAGATATGCCAGATAGAATGCCAGATAGAATGCCAGAAGATATCAGAATGTGCCAGAAGAATATAGAATGCCAGAAGATATGCCAGAAGATATGCCAGATAGAATGCCAGATAGAATGCCAGAAGATATGTCAGATAGAATGCCAGAAGATATGCCAGATAGAATGCCAGAAGATTTGCCAGATAGAATGCCAGAAGATATGCCAGAAGATATGCCAGATAGAATGCCAAATAGAATGTCAAGATATGTCAGATAGAATGCCAGAAGATGTGCCAGTAAGAACATGTATAAATGTCATGGTGGGGATCACACGAAGTAAAGTAATTTTTTGAAGAATACATATTATGTATCACCTTATGTCTGGTTCCATCCTGAGCATTAAACTCAAAAACTGGCAATTGAACGTTCATCCACCTAGACATGGTATGATATGGAAATGACATTTGACCGACACCCACGGAATACAAAGTAACAACTGAAGTAGTCTACACTGACTACTATAGGTCCAAGTGGTTATCACTTGTCACTTGTCTCTACAAACATTATCGGACACAATGACAAAAACATAATATCGTACAGTAGATGTTCTGCAAACGCCGTTTTAAGGCTGCTCAGTAAATGCCCCCATCGATAGTAAACTTATAAAGTCTTCAGCGACCACGGTTTACCTGGATCCCAAGCCGTTCTCGCAGTTTCAGACACATCTCTAACATCCATGAATGGTTTGGACTCAAACATTTCCGTGCTATGCCCTTTTTGATTGTACCCCTGCTTTTAACCACATTTCATCTGATGTTTCATAGTTCGACCACCATGCACATACACACAATACCCATATCATGTTGATGCTTGCCTATCCAATATTATTATTCCGGTTTTAATCCCCAAGAAATACCTTTAGTCGAATCCCGAATTCATAGAGCACAGTATAGCACCCGAAACTATCAACCAACATGTGAGCCTTGCTCTCTGCTTGTAACCCTAGCCGTTTAGTAAAATAGGAGATGGTATAAAATGATATGAGAAAGAAAAACTATCATAATGCCAGCAAAAACCTGGCTGGTTCCACTTGGGTTCCTGGTTGCTGCCACTTGGCATCCAAGTGAGTCAGTGGCATCCATATCTTGGTTAGATTGATTGTTTACTATCCACTTCCTGACCGGGATACAGCAGGCCCCAGATACCATTCAACGAACAGGGCTTTCCGAAAAAGACTTTCAGCCAATGAACATCAAATGTCAAATCGCAGGATGGGATGAGTGAATCCCTACTACAAGGTGGTGCCACGAGACGCTATGTTTGTTGGTTTCTTCACCATCTCACGACAGTTATAGAGTTATAGCCATCATACACCCTAGTTAATCTAGGTATAAGTATAAACCACCTTAGGTAAGTATGGGGCACCACCATGTATATAATGCTTCGTATCCATCACGTAGAGGGCATTTGTTATGTTCTCAGTTCACCCTATGGCCACATTCAGTGTTGCGTTCCATCTATTCAAGTGTTCATCACTTCCTGAAAATACATCCTGTTTGATTCAATGGTTCAAATCCCCGCGCACTTCAATCAGTACTGTCCGCTCACCCTGATATGTTTGCAATAACTTTCTCACTGTTCATCCAGTCATCTCACTGTTCGATCTTAGGGTTGCCCCTCTTTTTGAAGTACCCTCCGGCAATCCTTTGTGGCAATGGAAATCGCCCATGCCCGATGATTCTCCCAGCTATAATTCTTGATTTACTTCGGGAATTTCTCAGCTAGCCATGTTTGACTACCGAATTGCACTCCCCAAACACGATCTGACTGATGCCTGGCTCAAATCAGCTGTTATCACACAGCCATTTGGGGATGATTCCCCATAACCCATCATTCCAGCGACGTCACAACCTGAGGTCATTTATCAAAATCATCCAAATATCTTTCATTTGTTTACCCATGATTATCTCACTATACCATCATTTGTTTGGTTCATTATATAAGTCATAATCCCTATTTGTCAATGGGATGATCCATATTCATCATATTCTAACATGTGATTCATCCCTGTTATCCCCATAACACTCCCACTATATTCCCATTTATATCCAACTGCACCATATTGCACCAATTTTGTTGGTTCAATCCCCATGTCTGTTGGTTAAACCACACAAAACAGCATATATCATCACTAAAATGCCATAAAATGTCTGTCTTTGTCAATGAGATCATCAATATCCCAGCTGTCTTTTTCCAGGAGTTGATCGCCTTTGATACTGGATTTTCAAGGATCTTCCGATCTTCCCAAATACCACTGACTATATATATATATACACATATATATATATATATGAGTATATTCCCATGTATATTCCCATTTAAATCTCCATTAACTATGATAAATCATCATCTTTAATTGGTAAATCAACTATGTGGCCGTTTTCACTAGCAAACAGTTAGTTTACCAGAGGGTAACCCCCATGAAATACCATTATATACACAATTGTTTATGGGTAAATCAACAATCTCTATGGCCATTGTCAATAGCTATGCAACTAATTACCAGAGGGTAGCCTTTGATTCATCCCATTTTTGTTGCTTCCAACCGGTCACCGTGACATCGACCGCCTCAGAGGCGCCCAGCTCCTCCAAGCGCAGCCGAGCGTCCTCCAGCTGCGCCGCGGCGCAAGCGGCCTGGAAGTGGCACGAACAATGCCGGGCCCGCCGAGAAATGGAGAGTTCACCGGGTAAAATGGTGATTTATCCATCAAAGATAGAGGTGGTTTAACCACTAGAAATGAACATTTAATCATCAAAAAAGGCAAAAAAATACTTACCCATTAGAAATAGGGGAAATCACCTGCTCAACTGATCTAAGATGGTGATTTGACCAAGATAAATTGTGGTATAGTGGGTATGTAATGGGATAACATAGGATTTCACCATCAAGAAAGGCTAGGTTTAAGCAGCAAAACTGGTGGAATTTGAAAGGATAAATCTAAAAGTACAGCCTTTCACCACCAAAACTTAAGAAACAATGTGATTTAACCAGTAACCAACATGAATTTGACTCATTTGACCATGGAAATCATGGTTAACAAATGAAAGCAAATGATATTGAATTTAATCAAGGAAAAACACATGACAATGTCAATGTGGATTGTATATGTAAAATATGTTACATCTTTAAAAAAAACAAGGATGTATATATATATATACATAATTTACATTTGTGAACATGTTGGGTAACACGGTCAAGCTTGGTGGTTGAACCATCAAGCACTTGCATTTGACCAAACAAAAATAAAGCATTCAACCAACAAAAAACGCGGAACCATCGATATTTATCTGTCTGAAAATGACAACTTACGCATGAGACAATGGTAATGACAGGAATCATCCGTGTCTCAAAATTACCGACATCTGTAGAATTGCTATGTTCCTGAGCATGTGATGATGATCCATGATTTGAAACATGCACACACACACATATATATATACACATACATACCCGATTTCGCATGTTTATCTACAAGTATATAGATGGATATTTAATTCTCTTGGTTTGTTCGCAGAACATGTTCTTCAGTGGTTTTCAAAATGGAAATGATCAATGACATGATTTATATACAGGAACTATTGCTGGAAATGTTCCTTCGGCGGGCACTCTAAGATTCCATGACAGGACATGACGGACTTGCAATAGCTGTTACAATAGAAAAAATGAATTGAAGTTCATGGGGCAAGGGTTAACTAAGCGGCACTCTGCATGAATCTTTGGACATGGATGATACGAACCAACTGCCACTGACGCACTCACAAGCATTGGCTCCTGAACTCCTGGATGTCATCAGGCCACTAGGTTTCATGAACCCGTGGAAGGGCTTACCTAGCATGCTGTAACAACACTTTGTGTTGCTATAATTGTGTACGTAGAGATAGCCTCGGTAATTTAATATAGCAAATGGAAGCCACCATTTTTGATAGATAAATCCTCGAACTAACTGGGCCATAGCATGCCATGGCTTCCATACCTATACCAATTTGCTGGAAGATAAGGGGCTCGCCATCCTGCCACTTGCCTCCTGCTGTTGCAGTTCCAGGGCTTGCGCTGCCACCTTTTTCTGAAGATCCAAGGCCTCTTTGGCCTCTCTCAACTCACCTGGGCTTCGACATTGAACCGCCGAGCGTGCTGCACGTTCATAACGTTTGTATGGGTAAGCACATGCTTCTACAAATGCATGCCTGCAACACATATGCAACACTTATTCTAAAACCATCTAAAACCTACATTCACTTTGCACACATGCAGCAAGCAAACCATTCATGGCCTTAGTGTTGGCGCAAAATCCTTATTAAAAAAAAAAACTGGCCAATTCCAAGCACTGGTTGGGATTGTGAAACCTTGTTCAAATAATTAAAGTCATTCGATATGTCAAGACCTAAAGGAACACACTCGCACACACTTTCACATCGATTTACATATTATTATTATAATATATATATTTAAATATATGGAAGTGGGCCCCTTGGCCCCCCTCACTTTCACATCTTTAACTCCACCGACAACCTCCTGATCGGCCCAGCTGCGTTTACTCTTTTCGAGTTCCTTCTGGATCTTGCCGACATCCGGCTCTTGGGCCTCACCAGCCGGTGCCGGAGAAATGCACTGGCTGGGGTGATCCATCGATGTTTGAAAGGTGGGGGTACTTGGCATGTTCACATTAGACTTACGCATTTCTTTAAACATGTTTGAGAACAAATTTATGATGTTGATATGTGCTGATTGGCATCTTACTTCAGCAAAATGGGATGCACATGCTTTTTAATAACAAGGTAGGACACTGGCTTCTTTACACCCCTGTCATCCCCTATTATTGTTGAAAGGTTCCCAGCGACTTACCCGCTATTGAGATGTTGGGACAATAATTAGACAATCTCTGTAGTGAATCTGGAGGTAAACGAATCCACTGCCGTGGCCAGGTGTTTTTTTCACTCGAAAATGGGGTGTGTTACTCAATGTTACCTAATGTTTGGCCATTCATTTTTTTGAATGTTTGCCACAGCCTGAGCCACCGGAGTTCCCAATATTACTTGTGAAGCGCAATGGCATGGCGAGTGAGTGCGCTGTTGCTTTTTGGGAATGCTGGAACTTTCTGAAACCGCACTTGGAGTTGTCGATGGATATAGCCATAGTGATAACCCCCACGGTTGCGATTTATATAACTTCTCCAACTCTGTTTCTATATATATATAAATAACCAGTAGATTTGGAACCGCGCCCAAGTATGGATGCAACCATCGATGTAGTATCTGCTGAATACCCGAATAACGTCATCAGCGTCACTAGTGAACAAAAATGCCCCAAAAAACCATTGTGCAGCCCCCCTTACCCTAAAAAAAACACATGCAGCACTTGTGGCATCACATCCGCTCCAGTGTCTTGGGGTTTCCATGTTTCACAACTGTGTCTCGATGTCGGAGCGCCGGTGCTGGCGCTGGTGCGTTGAAGGAGTCGTCCCCAAAATCAAAGTCATCCCAACCATCGGATCCTGCCATCCAAAGCACAACTCAGGGCTTCGGGGACGATTAGACTGGCTCAAAACCAACACTTTCTGCGAATGATTCAGAAACATATATCAGTTGGATATATATACGCTTAAAATGGTTTGATTAAATTGGTCAAAAGAAGTGAGATGATTTTTCGCAAATGATTCAAGTTGCTTATAAACACATGGATCTCATTGACAGGGTTGGGGTTAGATTACTGAAGGTTATGACCAACAACAATGGGTCATGGGGCGATATCACAATTGTCATGCGGATCCGATGGTGTTCTTTTTCGTGCCCTGACGATAGGTAGAAAAGGCTGAACAGGGCACATGACTAGAATAGTTACAATGCTGGTCCTGGTGGCCACTCTTTAAGGGTGGAGGGTATCCAAAAATATCACCACCTAGGACCTGATGCCGCCGGTGAAAATCCTAAGAATCATCGTATGTTCCTGGGCTGCCACATGTGTGCAAGTGTACCCAACTTGGTTTCAGCATGGTTCAGCTGTTTATGACCATCTGTGTAAGAGATGAACGTGATTTCCCGTTGTTGTCTAAGTGACAACGCAATCGATTCCACAAGGGTTTGGTTTCAGGCCATTTGCAAATGTTTGTAAATGTGGTTTCTATGTGTATCTCAGATGTATACTGTATACATATAAACAGAATTATATAAACATACATATCAATCTGTTTTTTCAGACTTCCCTGCACTGTCTGGGCTAAGCAAGGGCCGATGAGCTGTATATTGTAAGTTTGGACAAAACCAATGTACTAATTTATTGGCTTGGTTTAAACAGGGTGTCTCAAAATTCCATAACAATATATATAGATAGATAGATAGATAGATAGATAGATAGATATATAGATAGATAGATAGATAGATATATATCACATATCGTGTTTTCCATTGTTTAATGACAATAACGGTACATGTAAATCACACATGTTTGGACAGACCCAGCTCCATTACTGCTTGGCTTGGACACATTGAGATCCATATGTTTATCGAAGCCTTATAGTCAATTTAACACAGTGTGGAAATTTTCTTCATTTGTCATCGAACTAAATGGGCCAGATTCCAGAACTATGTTAATTTCCTGGAGGGTGCACCTCCACCAATTTCCACATTTTTCCCCACCTGCCAGGTGAAGGTTGTTAGATTTTATCAGAGTTGTTCTCCTCCTCCTCCTCGGCTAGCTATCCTCCTGCTCCTCCTGCTCCTCCTCCGCCAGCATCTCCTCCACCACCTCTGCCTCCACTTCCACGTCCACTGTTGCCTTGCCAACTCTTCGCCAAGCTCTTCGCCAACGTCCGAGCTCAGTGTGCACCGCTGGACCTCAACCTGGGACCTTCCCAGCTCAGTGGGCACCGCTGGACCTCAACCTGGGACCTGCCCAGCTCAGTGGGCACCGCTGGGCCTCAACCTGGGACCTGCCCAACTCAGTGTGCACCGCTGGACCTCAACCTGGGACCTTCCCAGCTCAGTGTGCACTGCTGGACCTCAACCTGGGACCTGCCCAGCTCAGTGTGCACCGCTGGACCTCAACGGCCAGATAGAATGCCAGAAGATATGCCAGATAAAATGCCATGAGATATGCCAGATAGAATGCCAGAAGATATGCCAAATAAAATGTTAGAAGATATGCCAGATAGAATGCCAGAAGGTATGCCAGATAGAATGCCAGGTAGAATGTCAGAAGCTATCCCAGAAGATATGCCAGATAGAATGCCAGAAGATATGTCAGATAGAATGCCAGAAGATATGCCAGATAGAATGCCAGAAGATTTGCCACATAGAATGCCAGAAGATTTGCCAGATAAAATGCCAGATAGAATGTCAGAAGATATGCCAGAAGATTTGCCAGTAACAAAACGTATAGATGTCATGGTGGGGATAACTCGAAGTAAAGTAATTTGCCTAGCCATCGTTGCATCAGCTCCCGACCTTCTCTGGGAGGCTGCTGACTCGAGGCAGGCTCTTGGACCTCGCTTGCGGGGATGGGATTCTATCGAAACTTGTGGGGATTTCCATTTCTCAATTGCAATGGCTATATACGGTAATACCTATCAATGACCACAGCTACTCCTCACTTGGCTTCAGAATCAGTGGGTCGATTTTGAAGGCAGCAACTTCACCGATTCCACCACAATACTAGGCCAGGGCCAGCCCTGCCAACGTGGGAAGACAACAATGGGTGATAGAAGTTTCCCTGCTTGAGCCACATAAAACTATAGTTGTATCTATCTGTCTGTCTATCTATCTATCTATCTATCTACCTACCTATCTATCTATCTATCCATCTATATCTATCTAAGCATGTTTCATATCAGTAGCATATGGAAGCGGAAAATCCGTCGGACAATGATAGGTTGCTGTTGCATACGGGGCGTTCCCACTTCAATGAACAAACAGCACGCTCGAAACTGCCCATGTCGCAAAAAAGAAACTTATATAATCACGCGTCACTGGAATGGTGTCGCATCCTGCCAAAAGAGGTCAACAACATCTCGGGATATCTCGGGCAAAGCCAGATTCTGTGAATCTGGCAGGAGCTGCTTCAAGACCATCAAAGTCAAAGTCACCCCAGCCATCGTCTCCTGCCAAGCCAGCACCCATCCCAGCGGTCCGAATCTTTGAAACTGCCATTGGCAACCCCCCAGCTAGCTAAGTCAGTTTACAGCTAATTACTAATTAGCTTAATTTTGGTTTATAGTCAATGTGGTTTATAAACCCACCCTTGACATGCGAGGGCCCACCCTGTAGGGGAAAATCAATCCACGTGGTTTGGTCTGAAAATGGGCCACCCCCAATTCCCGATGAGGTTTGTCTCGTCATGTTCCCCCCCAAAAATGCCATGACTTTCTGTAATACCACTTTTCGGCACAAACCCGAACGGTTTTTCATGGTTTCAACATGTATCAACATGTTTCAACCACATGTTTGATGGGTAAAATCCATGCGTTTGACGGTTCGAAGGTTCTCCTGCCGCCTGTGCCTTTGCAGGCTCCACCTCCGCCTTGGAAGCAAAGATTGATCCAACGGGCATCCAAACAACACAAGTTTCAAGTTTCCCACACTTGGCTTCAAGACATCCATGCCATCGAAAAGCCTACAGTACAGGAAATATATATGGTCTAAAGTCTAAACATGTTCAACATAAAACCCTAGATTTGGGAAATATATAACTTTGCCTCCCGCAAATTGATTGGCAGTCCTGACTGCTCACGCCTCCTACAAGACTCTAATCATGATCCAGGGATGGAGATGAATCTAGTTGAATCCACTAGTAGCAGTACGTACCCTCTGACAAAAAAATAGTTATTCAAAATGGTGCAAATTTAAAAGCTGATTTATCTGTTTGGAATGGTGATTTTCCATTGTTGCGTTACACTGCCAGAATGTAATTAATACTAGTCATTGTACAATATGTAGAAACAGATTTCACAGCAGAGCAAAAATGTTGAAAATTGAGAAGATCAAAAATGTAAGAATGTACCGTTTTGATGCGGTGGGGTTTCATGAGGCAGGTAGATCACAAGCACCCTGTGAGCAAAAGGATCTTGGCATATCTTGGCACTATTTTCCTGAAACAATTGGAACCAAGCCTTTCCGACTGCCTGAACATGACATCAATTCCATGTCTGCCAGCCTCCAACCAAGACTGGCTACCCTCAGAAAACACAGCAAAATCATCTGACTCATTACAGTACCACCCATAGGCCCAGCAAATACGATAACGGGTATTGTTCCTGACTAAGACACCATACTGGGATTGTCCGGGTATCCCTGAAGTTCGCAAATGGTTCATGACTTTGTGGTTGCATGTTTTCCAATCGAGATGGGTCAAACGCCACTGATCGATAAGTTCAAGGCTAAAGGATCATCCCAGTACCCATTCCATGTCAATGCCCAGCAGCATTTGGCATTGGCCCAGAAGGATCAGATATTCTGTCACCATGGCCTCCGCAGCCAACAACCACGAAGATCTTATTTGGTTGACAGTGGAGAGTCATGTTAGTATAGCAACCATTTATCCCACCCATAGGTGATGGTTTATACACCACCCACTTATGGTATTTTATGGTAAGTTTTGTGGATTGTGGATCCTATTGCTTTACCAATGGACTCACTCCGTGTGTTGCACTCCAGAGCTTGGCTCTCTCGGTGATTCTTGGCGGAGCATAACAGGAATAGAAACCCAACAATTCTGCAGAAAATAAGGTTGCAAACGCATCCCATATTGCAATTATATATATATATATATGTGTGTGTGTGTACACAATTTGCAGGGGGTACTAGTTCATGGTTTCCTGTCCCAGCGTGGAAATGACACAAACGAACGTTATACACATGTACATTGTGTGTAAGATGAACAGATGAACCTGCCAGCATCCACCGGTCACATTCGCTCGTGATCCAATGCTGGGCTGGCGCCTTCTTCTGGATGCGCGGAGGTTGGCTCTGGAACCGGTTGTTGAACCTCGGGTACTGCGACAAGCTTTTGGATTATGAAGGTGCTGCAATATGTCGGTGCAACAGGCCAACACGGTGCCGATTAAAGTAAACGGCAAAGTGAATAGGTTCATTTAAGTTCAAAACATAATCTCAAAGTCGATTTCCGTCACCAGCAAGAGTTCCGACATACAACAAGGGGTTACCATTCAGGTTGCCAAAGCGGTTATTAAATCACTATCCACCATCTTGCCTGTTTACAAGATCATACCATAGCCAACCTTAGAAATATCATATGTCTATAATTTTCTATCTATGTCTCCCATCAATCACTCAAAGTGAACCAATTCACTGCTGGTTGGTGGTTGCAACCCATCTGAAAACTATTAGTCAATGGGAAGGATTATAAGGACTATCCCATATATTATGGAAAAACATGTTTGAAACCACCAAACAGACTAGGACATCCATCCAAATTGTTCACTCTCTTGATGCATCGCCTCTGCGGGGTGGCGCTCCGCCTGAGAAAGCGGCAGGGGTCGTTTGGATGCCAAAGTCAAAGTCGCCCCAGCCGTTGTCTCCTGACAGATTCATCCCCAAAAGTGCCGCCACAATGAAACCTCTGAAGTCTAGAAATAGACGTAACTCCGAATGAACATAGATTGCCTCAAACTCGAAATGTCTTTGGGTGAGTTTGTGTTACAAAGAAACGATATCCTCCTTCCGTGCTTGGCTTTCTTCGAGCAGCTTCATCCTGCGCACTGCAAAAGCCGAAGAGTGCAGAAACCACGCCGCAGTTCTGCTATTCATTGTTTACACCCTTCTGACAACAGGGGAAGCCAACCGCTATTTACATCTATTTACAGTGATGATTTACCTCAAAATAACCCGAACTCCTTGATACCTTTGGGATACGTCTGAAGAATCTACACCAGCCTTGAAATATTTTTGAAAAACTGAAGCCCGGAAATGATAATGCACATATACATATACATGTACTCCACAACACCCTGGCGAAACATGTCGCCCTCATCAACAGTCAAACTTACATTTTCCCTGTACACCCGCTCCGGTTGTTCCAAAAACGGAGCACCCAAAACAAAATGATTTATCAATGGTTTGCCTTAGTAAATTTACCACCTCCGAGTGTTGCCCTACTTCTGCACTATGTCGGATTGATGTTGATCAGCCAGCTCAGCTTGAGAGTAGGCTGCCACACAGATCTATGGTTGCAGATATGTTCCTCACTGAAAGTAGAAAAACAATGTTTTTGAGGTCTCCATTTTCAGAACGCACATCTGTTTCCCAATGTGGACCCCAAACATTGCATTATTCATTGGTTTGAGTTAAAATTTTGTTTGCTCATGTTTACTATGATAAGTCATCTTTTTGGCTGGTTGCATGATCCAATTTGATCCGAGCCTCTCCTCCCCCCCCATACATTCGGGCACCTGGATTGGCGCTTCAGCAGCAGGCTGCACCTGATGGACAATTCAATATGAAGGGCACACCACCCCTTCACCGGTGAGTCTGTAGTATACCATGGCATATCTTGCTACCTTGCATTTTCTTGGCTGGTGGGTGCAAATGCACATGCCAAAGATTCAACGACTAAACTGATCTAATTAGCTGACTAGCCAAAAATCCAAGGACAAAAGTAATCTAATTATGCAACATTCTTCATCCCGCGAGTTGGCCCAAATACCCACACCAACCCGCCTTGGCAGAAGCTTCTCTGGCCATTTGCAGTTCCTTCTCCAAGTCACTGATGCGCACAGAAGCTGCCAGCTGTTCAGCCGCTTGCCTCATCATGAGGCAAGCGGTCGAAAGTTGATGGCGCAAATTACAAATCATCTAGTAAGTGGTTTCTATGTAATGCTTTTTTTTCCCTCCCTCTCTCTCTCTCATATATACTTATATCGAATTAGTTAACGATTTAAAATCATATGGGTTTAATGGCAAAAATACAAGGCAGTAAGCTGACATATCCAGACCAATCCGCAAGATGCTGCGGAATCCACCATGTGGATGTGTATCCGCCAGTCATGTTGGACAATCATCTAAAAAACGGAAGGACATAATAAATGAGTGGAAGCACCGGCAAAAATACTTGCACAAATGCATGGGTTTCACCCAGTTGAACAGAAGTGGAAACAAACATGCTTGTTTGACTCGAAACCAACGTGTTTGACTGCCGCTGCTGCCAGGGTGCATCTCCAATGCTTGGTTTTTCTCAGTTGTCAGTGCGTTCATCTGCTCCTGGTTTCGCCCATGCGCGGTTATGCTACCCAGGATAAACTGAGGAGCATCACAGATCACAGCATTGGTGCTTCTGACCAAATGGAAAGGCTAGACTTCCACCTAGGAGTGAGCAAATCCATTTTTACATTTGCACTTAGGAATCAAGCGCGCTCAAACACATATCACATGTATAGTGTGTATATATATATATATACGTAAATTGATTCATGCAAAAAAGTGATATTATAATATACATATGCACACGTATTTGCAGGAAATATGTAAAATGTACATATGTACACGCGTTTATGCATACAAAACATGTTTGCAAGTATGTATAGATGTATGTGCAAATAAGTCTGTAAAAAGCATGCATATTTGTAAATAGGTTAATTTCAATGGAAATAGGTAAATGTAACAGAATGTAAAATATAATATGTGTATGCAAGTACACATGTATGTATATATATATATTTAAACATGAATGTAATTTTGTAGGTATTTGTTTGGGGGGAGCCGTATGGCCACACATGGTTTTGTACTTGTGAATGTGATGGAGGAACAAACCTGTGTAAGGAAAGGAAACGGAAAACAAGAGAAAGGAAGACAGCAATGCCTCTCATTCAGGAAGAAAGGGACACAAAGGAGATGTGGGAAAGGGTCTACAAATGAGCGTCGCTCAGGTATGGCTACAGCACTTCACACCAGTGGCCCACAGGAGGCTAGACCGTACCTCAAATAGAAATGATGGTGAGCCTATAGGTAATCTATGGGAAATATAGGGGTCCACATACTATAGATGAGGGATAAAAGGGCATACCACTGGATGAAGCGGCAAATGGAGGACACCATCAACATCACCGTCCTGCAGCATCTGGTTCCTCGCAAATGTCTCCTCCAGTTTCTGTTCCTCACGGGAAAATGATGAGGGAGGATGGCTTCAGAAACTCTACCTACCCTTGGACACATAGACGGGATTGAGTTTGCCAAAAAGATCCAAACACATGGAAACGAACAAATAAAAGTGACTTGACTTCGGGTGACCCCCACCACCTGACGCAGATTCTGGCGTTTAATTTGACCTATTCAGTCATGTTTGGTGATATACTAGCTGGCATTTTATCTGGCGTTCTGTTTGATATGTTCTGACATTTTATCTGACATATCTTGCTGCCTATTTGGGACATATTCTGAAAACATATTCTGGCATTTTATCTCACAGTCTACAGTACCGGACATGTTGTCTGATTCTGCCTGCCATATATTCTGACATTGTTTTCTGACATTTCATCTGCCAGCCTATTTGACATTCTGGCTTTTGGTATCACAGCTATTCTCACATATGACATATAGATAATTATACAATATTAACTTTAGCTAAAGAAACTATCTGTCATTTTATCACTATCAGTACCTTCGATCTGACTTTTGATTTGCCATTCTAGCAGGCATTGTTTCTGGCATGGCCCGACGAAGACCAAACTGCATGAAATCTAAAAACCCTCCCTGGGTATATAATCGCTTTTCACCTACACCCGTGAACGCTAACTCGGAACATGGGAAGCCAACGTTTGCATTTTTTCCAAACAGTCCAATTCTCGGGTTCCAAATTAAGTTTGTTCAAATGCACTGTAAATTTCATGATGTTTCATGGCTCTCCTGCCCCTCTTTGTCCCAAACTTACACCATCTGCCAACATTTGCATCGGTATTAAGCCAAGGGTCCATTTCCATCTTCAACTCTTCGTACTGCGCGACCTACGGCTGCTGTCTCCCGCAATCATGAAAAAGAAGGATGCTGTATATTGAGAATCCGGGGAACCTAAATATTGAGCTCCCAGTGTCACTGCACTGATTTCGAGACACCTTGAAAGCCATATAATACCATTTACTTGTCCAAGAGGCTGCTCGCAACACATATTTTCCAAGACCCAACTAAAATACATCGAAACATACGCAACAAACCCCAGCGCAATCGAATTGAGGATGCATTTGGGCAAAGAAGCAACACAGGCCAAATGACAAAATAAAAAATTAAACCTTAGGGCAATGCCAAAATTTGAAGCCAACAAAGTCAAAAATATTCGGCGCCAGCACGCCTTGGCAGAAGTTGCCTCAGCCGCCTGAAGTTCCTGCTCCAGATCTGCAACACGTGCCGAAGCTGACAGGTGCTCCGCCGACTGCCTTGTCGCAATCTCACTACACGATCTGCATAGTTCCATTGAAAATGGGCTGGCAAAAAAAATGTGTTATATTTCATTGGATGCAACGCAAAGATGGCAAATCATGAAAAGGGGCCCGCTTGGCTTCTAAGATCTTGTAAGTCTTCCAAGATCTTCTATGGGTTTTTCTCAAGGATCAGACGCTCCTATGCCACTTATGCCGGGAAGCATCTCGGATGCTTGGTTCTTAGCTTTTAGCGCATCCAGCTGCTCCTAGTTTGGCATCACACCGGAGCAGCAAATCATCTGGAGGCGCAAGGATCTCATTTACCCTCTGGTAATTTAACATAGCTATTGAAAATGATGATTTAATATGATTTATAATATACAGTAGATTTATGCATAAAACATGGTGATTTTTCATAGTTATGTTAGTTTACCAGAGGGTAAATGAAACTGCTAGAAGCCACAAAGATTAGCAGTTGGAGCATCCAGTCTCCTGCAGCTCTTTGTTCTTTGCAAGGCTGGCTTGCAGCTTCTGTTCCTCAGGGCAAGCATCACCAAGTCACTTGTCTTGTCTGAAACATCCCCAACATCCTCCAAATGTGTCACAATGCACGAGGGGAAAACAGGCGACATTCAAAGAGCCAACAATGGATCTTGACAAGCATGCAGCAAGCTGGGCGCAAAACATGTTAGTTTTCAACATGGTTCGACCAAAACAACATAATCCTCACTTGGATGGAGAACCAACAGAAGCTGAACGGACTCACTTGAAGCATTCCGCTGAGGAACTGTGTTTAAATCACCCAGTAGTGTCATCCAGCAAACTCACCCCGCAGCCAAGGATCCATGTCCACCTTCAACAACTGCTCTACCTCAGCGCTTGACAGCCATGGATATGACATTTGTGAGTGAAGGTGTCCTAGGACATTCAGGGCTCAGGGCCATAAGTATGCCGAATGAGTGTCCTGGGTAGATCTGGGTGGCGAAGCTTTAGCCCTGAGGTCCATGTCCCTGAAGTACGCTGAGAGAATTTTGACTGGGCCGAAACCCAACATGGAATTGATTCTAAGCACGGGCGGCCACAACTTCCAAGAACATCGCGCAGGGCCGTGATGATTAGACTTGAAAAAAACGTAATTACATTGCCTCATGCTTTTGTGTTCGTTGCTACGTTCCTTGGCCAAACCACCCTCTCCGCTGGGTTGAAAACAGTCGCAAATTTCACATTGGCAAAGACCTGTTGCTTTACCCACCTGTAATGTTTCACGACCCAGGATCCAGATAGCCAAACGGCAAGCATCCCCTACAGTGGTTGGTGAAATCTCCCAAGACCGGGGGACCACACCTGTGGCTCATCTAACAGGTCTGAAGCACCTGCACCTCACGTCCAATCCAGCAACTTAAGGATCCAAGGATGTGGCTGGGAATGATGCTTGGCAGCAACCTGACATCAATAGTTAACGCAGTTAACGCAATTACTGGTCATCGGTATGTAATAGGAACTCCTGCATCCAGTAAAAAAACCCTTAAGAACAAAAAAGACTGTTTAGGTTTGGATTGCAACCTAACCTTTTTCTGGAGATTTATATGATTGGAAAAGTCGGTGCTACCGAAACAACAATCAAGTTTCATATCGTTTGGTAGGCCTTCCAGATTGTGTCTCGCGGATGCCATGGGTCTGTTGGCCAAGCTAAGTAAACAGCAGCAAATACATGCCTTGGCTAACACCTGACCACATGATTGAAAGGAACTTTGGCCCCCCAAAAGGACATTGCACTTGAGACTTAGAAACTGGTGCATCCTATCTTTGGGGGATTCATGATGCTTGTGGTCATGATCCCAGTTCCTGAGGTTGCTGTTGAATGAATAAAAGAACTACTCTTAGACTTTAAGACCACAAAGGCCCTGAATAAACAACTTAGGCTGAGGTGTGCACACGCAGTCTGTTGGATCAAACTTGGATATAAAATGACCCATACACAAGCAACCCACCACTACCCTTGCCCCCAACCCATCACTTCGCCTGGGTCATCGCCCTTGGTTTTGAGTGGAGGGGCGCAAAGGGTGGTTTCACCACGGGATGTGGAGATGCATGCCTCAATGAGAAAGTACCGTTTCATCAAATATATTGTGTTGTTGGCAGGTGTGTGCTCATGTTTGCGCACAAAAACAATTATATAATACAATATCCATTGACTTCGCCATAATCAGCCAGGACATCGGCGATCCATCTATCAAAGCTTATGTCCAACGGTAATATTACAGTACCACTAGGCAGCCACTTTACCGAGGAACCACTCACCTTGTTTTACCGAAAAATTGATCAGTAAAACACACTTAACAATCTTAACAGACTGACTTAACGCAACCATTGCCGGCCAGCTGAGTAACCTCCACTCCCAATATGGGCATCGCCCATGCGCTTACATTCTTGAGCAAGGCTCACTACCAAATGGATCCAAATAGTATCTTTGGTGAGGGTTGGCCCCTGAAGCTTGCAAGTGGGAAGTGGTTTGTTTGTATGTAGCCAGTGGTTTGAAGGATAAACCGAGCTAAGTTACCTCATATCCATGCATATCCGATTTACTAATCATGTGGCCAATGGTGAGATACATTTAATCCCATTGCCCTCCCGTCTTTTCCCATCTCAGTGCCCAGTAGCGTTTGGCTGAGGATTGGTTTCCAGCAGATCTAGGCCAAATTCATCCCAGCCACCCTGGTCACCTGGCCAGGGCCCAAAGCACCCGAAGCAGCTAGGTCAAGCCCTCAGCAAGAGACATATGCAAGATGTTATGTGTTTTGATGTGTTTTGTAAATGTTGAACAACACAAGCAAGTTGGAGCTTGTCGCAGTCTTTCATTCGAAAGAAGAGCATCTACACCTTCAACATCTAAATGAGCCCATGCCATTTTCACACACTGAGCTTGCAAACCAGTTCTCCAGCGCACCATATGAATTTGGCGAAGGTACAAGTTGATGAATCGTCCCATGGATTGAAAGTCATGCACATATACAAAGTATACATTAGGAATTAACTAAATATTAATCTGAAAACACGCACACACACAAATATACACAGATATATACGTACATAAAAGTAAAACACACAAATATATAATATCAAAAAATAGCAACATCAACAGCCATGAATCTGTTCGTGTGTGATCATATGCGTTCGTCATGTCCTGCTTGCCTGGGCTTGCGCTAGTGATCCAATCCATGCATGGTAGGCCTTCTTCTGGATGCTGACTCACGGAGGTTGGCTCTGGAAACGGCTGCTGCACCTCAGGTACTGCGACCAGCTTTAGGATTACGAAGGGTGTTGTGATGGTGCAATAGACCAACACCGTGACTGCCAGGAAACTGAAAAGTGAATAGGTTCGAGAGGGTGAAAAATTAACGGTCTCTAACATGAATCTTGGATAAATTATGTTCGACCAAGGTGCTGGGCAAGTAATAGGCCAACATGTGATGATTAACGGCGACGACGACGACAACAACGACGACAACAACAACAACAACAACAACACCAGCAGCAGCAGCAGCAGCAGCAGCAACAATTTGGCAACTCGACCAATAACGAAATTGGTGCTTGGCGCATTGATAACTCCAAACGGCACCTGGCAATATACAACAAAGAGTTACCAAAAGGGTTAATTGTTTAAACCAGGCAAAAGTTGCTGGCTCAAAAAAAGACTATTTCACCAATGCCAAACCCATACTTATCCGCACTGAACTCTCTTGACACCTCGCCTCTGGGGGGTGCCGGGAGCGGGGGTCGGCACTTGGGAAGACGGACCCTGACTGAGAAGGCGGCAGGGGTTGTTTGGATGCCATCAAAGTCAAAGTCGCCCCAGCCGTTGTCCCCTGACCAGGTTGCAACTCATATCCAATGAGACCTCTGGAGCCAAGAAAGAATTAAGGAAAGTACCTGGGACTCCGAATGGATGAAACTGGAATAGATTGAATGATGAACGTGCTGAAGCTTCGACATGTCTGTGAGTCTGTGGAGGTGTTCAGGGACAAAAACCAAATGTCCTCCATCCGTGCTTGGCTTTCTTGGAGCTTCATCCTGCGCACTGCAGAAGCCGCTGTGCTGGCTCGGTTTATTGTCTCCCGGCACCAGAACGAAGCGAGCAAAGTAGATGTGGGAACCCGCAATATTTCCCAAACCTGATTTAAGCCTATGCTAACCACTATTCACGATGAGGTCGTTGAGAGGTTGCTGTCATTTACCAGCAAAAATGGCTCAAAATCATTGATGTTCTTAGACAATGTCCCAACTTTTATATGGTTAATTTTGAGGAAAACTCGAAATACTCAGCAATTATGATGTAAATATCATCCACAAAGGCACCGAGCTAGAACTATATAGTCTTTCTATACTTGAGTGTTCCTACATGATAGTGTGGTGTGGAATGTTCGCCTCATCAACATCATCAACAGGCAAGCTTTTGTTTGCCCAAATAAGGCTGGGAGGACCTGGGGGGTCTGATTATACTGATCTACGTGTGCTTGCTCAAATGGCATCCCCCAAGTCAGGGCCAACAGCGATACACAAACACAGAGGTTAAAACGGGTAAAAAATAATAAAAAGTAAAACCATGCCATGGCCCCCAGAGTCTCTCTCTCTCTCTCTCTCTCCTCTCTCTCTCCTCTCTCTCTCTCTCTATCTCTCTCTCTCGTCGCATCGCCATCTCGTGAGATATTCCACGCTATTTAATGCTATTTATGTTCTACCCTTCCGAATGCATTCCGGCAATAAGCAAATTCTGCCCTAAATACGCGCAAAGGCAAAAAAGACAAGACAATGGAGAAAATCGAGGCATGCGTGTTTCAATATCACCCGACGTGCCGGCACACCTGGGCAGAAGTTGCCCCAGCCATCTGGAGTTCCTGCTCCAACTCCGCCACACGAGCTGAGGCTGACAGGTGTTCGGCTGACTGCCTGAATTCACACGTGAAACTTCTCTGGGCCAACAGCAAGCCCACTGTATGATCTGCATGGTGTCATGCCACAATATTCCATCCAACTGCTCCTGCAATTTGGATTTTGGCGGGCATTTGACGACGAGGACAATGAGCACACCATCTGAGGGGCAGGGAAACACCTATGGGACGCAAGGTTCTATTGAAATAAAGAAACTGCTAGAAACAGCATAGTGCCTAGTGCGTGCGAGAAAAAGTGACCACCCGGACAAACATTTTCGCATCCAGTCTCACGTCCTGCAGCTCTTTGTTTTTCGCAACGCTGTTCTTCAGCTTCTGTTCCTCAAAGCAGGTTGTGCCCTTTTCCAAATGTGTAAAAAGGGAAAAAAAGGGGATGGGGGCCAAAGGTGGTTTGGAAGAGCTTCTTGAACCCTGCAAAGACCTACCTACAGGGGGGACATTCAAAGAGCCAACAATGAATCTTTAAAAACATGCGGCAACATAGACTGTAGTTGGTGGCTCACATATGTTTAAACCGTTTTAAACCCATCAAACAAAATTGTTCCAGCTTCAACAAGATCAGCTTCCCACCTTGGGAGGAGGATCAGCAAAACCTAAAAAAATGACTCAACTGAAACACCCAGCCAAAGAACTCCGTTCAGATCTGTCTTCCCCTCAAGCACTCACCTACTGGCAACTAGTGTTCCGCCGCAAGGAATGGCACCCAGGCCAGCACCCAGCACAACACATAGCCAAGGATCCATTTCCACCTTCAACTGCTCCACCTCCAGCATCCCCCAAGTCAGGGCCAACAGCGATACACAGAGGTTAAAACGGGTAAAAAGTAATAAAAAGTAAAACCATGCCATGGCCCCCAATGTATGTCTCTCTCTCTCTCTCTCTCTCTCGCTCGCTCGCCGCATCACCATCTCGTGAGATATTCCACGCTATTTAATGCTATTTATGTTCTATCCTTCCGAATGCACTCCGGCAATAAGCAAATTCTGCCCTAAATGCACGCCACTAGGCAAAACGACAAGACCACAATACCAAAACAATGACAACGCGCAATGGAGAAAATGGAGGCATGCGTGTTTCAAATATCACCCGCCGTGCCGGCACACCTGGGCAGAAGTTGCCCCAGCCATCTGGAGTTCCTGCTCCAACTCCGCCACACGAGCTGAGGCTGACAGGTGTTCGGCTGACTGCCTGAATTCACACGTGAAACTTCTCTGGGCCAACAGCAAGCCCACTGTATGATCTGCATGGTGTCATGCCACAATATTCCAAAATGGGATGGTCGGACAAAAACAGCACAATCATCTCATCAGCAGCAAGCCAACTTGACTTCCAAGGATTTCTTTCAATGACAAATTTGTTCTTGTCGCATGCCATTCGCTGCCAGGAAGCATCTCGGACGCTTGGTTCTTCTCAGCTGTCAGTGCATCCAACTGCTCCTGCAATTTGGATTTTGGCGGGCATTTGACGACGAGGACAATGAGCACACCATCTGAGGGGCAGGGAAACACCTATGGGACGCAAGGTTCTATTGAAATAAAGAAACTGCTAGAAACAGCATAGTGCCTAGTGCGTGCGAGAAAAAGTGACCACCCGGACAAACATTTTCGCATCCAGTCTCACGTCCTGCAGCTCTTTGTTTTTCGCAACGCTGTTCTTCAGCTTCTGTTCCTCAAAGCAGGTTGTGCCCTTTTCCAAATGTGTAAAAAGGGAAAAAAAGGGGATGGGGGCCAAAGGTGGTTTGGAAGAGCTTCTTGAACCCTGCAAAGACCTACCTACAGGGGGGACATTCAAAGAGCCAACAATGAATCTTTAAAAACATGCGGCAACATAGACTGTAGTTGGTGGCTCACATATGTTTAAACCGTTTTAAACCCATCAAACAAAATTGTTCCAGCTTCAACAAGATCAGCTTCCCACCTTGGGAGGAGGATCAGCAAAACCTAAAAAAATGACTCAACTGAAACACCCAGCCAAAGAACTCCGTTCAGATCTGTCATCCCCTCAAGCACTCACCTACTGGCAACTAGTGTTCCGCCGCGAACACCCAGGCCGGCACCCAGCACAACACATAGCCAAGGATCCATTTCCACCTTCAACTGCTCCACCTCCAGCATCCCACAAGTCAGGGCCAACCGCGATACACAGAGGTTAAAATGGGTAAAAAATAATAATTACTTTACTTCGTGTGATCCCCCACCATGACATTTATACATTTTGTTACTGGCAAATCTTCTGGCATTCTATCTGACATATTTTCTGGCATTCGATCTGGCATTCTATCTGGCATATCTTCTGGCATTCTACCTGGCATATCTTCTGGCAGATGTTCTGGCATATCTTCTGGCAGATGTTCTGGCATATCTTCTGGCATATCTTCTGGCATATGTTCTGGCATATCTTCTGGCATTCCATCTGGCATTCTATCTGGCATATCTTCTGGCATATTATCTGGCAAATCTTCTGGCATTCCTTCTGGCATTCTATCTAGCATATCTTCTGGCATATTATCTGGCGGCAACATTCTGGCACTTTATCTGCATATCTTTGGCAATTCTATTGCATTCTATCTGGCATATCTGGCATACCTTCTGGCATTCTATCTGGCTACTTCTAACATTCTATCTGGCATCTCTGGCACTCTAATGTGCATATTTTGGCGTGGAATACTCGCTTCGGCAGGGAACACTTGGCGTGGATACTCGCGGTTGAGGTCCGGCAGGGAACACGTGGATGGTCGTGGGATGGTCGTGGTTGAGGTCCGGCAGGGAACACTGGGCGGGGATGGTCGTGGTTGAGGTCCGGCAGGGAACACTGGGCGGGGATGGTCGTGGTTGAGGTCCGGCAGGGAACACTGGGCGTGGATGGTCGTGGTTGAGGTCCGGCAGGGAACACTGGGCGTGGGTGGTCGTGGTTGAGGTCCGGCAGAGAACACTGTGGATCGCGGGTCGCAGTTGAGCAAGGACGACGAGGACGACGAGGACGACGAGGACGACAAGGACGACAAGGATGACAAGGAGGACGAGGAGGGGGAGGAGAGGAGGACGAGGCAGGAGGAGGCGGAGGAGGAGGAGCAGGAGGAGGAGGAGGAGGCAACTGACATAAAATCTAACAACCCTCACCTGGCAGGTGGGGAAAAAGTAAAACCATGTCATGGCCCCCAGAGAATCTCTCTCTCTCTCTCTATCTCTCTTTCTCTCGCCGCATCGCCATCTCGTGAGATATTCCACGCTATTCAATGCTATTTATGTTCTACCCTTCCAAATGCATTCCGGCAATAAGCAAATTCTGCCCTAAATACGCGCAAAGGCAAAAAAGACAAGACAATGGAGAAAATCGAGGCATGCGTGTTTCAAATATCACCCGCCGTGCCGGCACACCTGGGCAGAAGTTGCCCCAGCCATCTGGAGTTCCTGCTCCAACTCCGCCACACGAGCTGAGGCTGACAGGTGTTCGGCTGACTGCCTGAATTCACACGTGAAACTTCTCTGGGCCAACAGCAAGCCCACTGTATGATCTGCATGGTGTCATGCCACAATATTCCAAAATGGGATGGTCGGACAAAAACAGCACAATCATCTCATCAGCAGCAAGCCAACTTGACTTCCAAGGATTTCTTTCAATGACAAATTCGTTCTTGTCGCATGCCATTCGCTGCCAGGAAGCATCTCGGACGCTTGGTTCTTCTCAGCTGTCAGTGCATCCAACTGCTCCTGCAATTTGGATTGTGGCGGGCATTTGACGACGAGGACAATGAGCACACCATCTGAGGGGCAGGGAAACACCTATGGGACGCAAGGTTCTATTGAAATAAAGAAACTGCTAGAAACAGCATAGTGCCTAGTGCGTGCGAGAAAAAGTGACCACCCGGACAAACATTTTCGCATCCAGTCTCACGTCCTGCAGCTCTTTGTTTTTCGCAACGCTGTTCTTCAGCTTCTGTTCCTCAAAGCAGGTTGTGCCCTTTTCCAAATGCGTAAAAACTGCATGGGGGCCAAAGGTGGTTTGGAAGAGCTTCTTGAACCCTGCAAAGACCTACCTACAGGGGGGACATTCAAAGAGCCAACAATGAATCTTTAAAAACATGCGGCAACATAGACTGTAGTTGGTGGCTCACATGTTTAAACCATTTTAAAACCCATCAAACAAAATTACTTCAAGCTTCAACAAGATCAGCTTCCCACCTTGGGAGGAGGATCAGCAAAACCTAAAAAAATGACTCAACTGAAACACCCAGCCAAAGAACTCCGTTCAGATCTGTCATCCCTTCAGGCACTCACCTACTGGCAACTAGTGTTCCGCCGCAAGGAATGGCACCCAGGCCAGCACCCAGCACAACACATAGCCAAGGATCCATTTCCACCTTCAACTGCTCCACCTCCAGCATCCCCCAAGTCAGGGCCAACCGCGATACACAGAGGTTAAAATGGGTAAAAAATAGCAAAAAGTAAAACCATGCCATGGCCCCCAGAGAATCTCTCTCTCTCTCTTTCTCTCTCTCTCTCTCTCTCTATCGCCGCATCGCCATCTCGTGAGATATTCCACGCTATTTAATGCTATTTATGTTCTACCCTTCCGAATGCATTCCGGCAATAAGCAAATTCTACCCTAAATACACGCCACTAGGCAAAACGACAAGACCACAATACCAAAACAATGACAACGCGCAATGGAGAAAATCGAGGCATGCGTGTTTCAAGATCACCCGCCGTGCCGGCACACCTGGGCAGCAGTTGCCCCAGCCATCTCGGCAACCTTTGGCTTGCTGTCCTCTAGGTCGAAGTCACCCCAGCCATCTCCTGCGACAAAACCAGCGCCCCCGCGAGAACAAACATCCACAGCACACTTCCCCCTTTCTAATACTCTTTCACTGATTGATTGAAAAAGAAATTGCCGAAGAATATTAAAATTGGCAAAGTACCCGGAGTCAAACACTCCGCACGTGTAAAAACCCGGATGTACATGCCACTCCCCAATTAACAAACCTTGTGTGAGTAACAAAAAGAGTTACCCCAAAATTGTGGTAATTGTTGCAAATTAACAAAGCAACCTGGGCTGATACAACACCCCTGGAAACCATGGTTCAATAAACCCTCTACCTCTCTTTGTTTCTTGTTGTTTTCCCTCTCTCTCTGTCTCTCT